ACAGCCAATAAATTTGAAAAAAAAAAAAAAAAAGTTTAAACCAATAAACACCAGTAAACCAAAATATTTGCAGTTTGTCAAAACCAGTGATTTCTTCCCACTGTGAAAGCCATGGGTGATGCTTTAAATCTAGGATGCTGCAGCTTCTGAGATTGCACGATTCACTGAGTTTGGACAAACATAGCTATTACTTCCTCGGCGTGTTCTACAACGATGCAAGCAACGTCCACGCAGATGGAAACAAATTCACGTGACAAATAAAATGGGACCAAAAAAAAAAAAAAGTCAAAGAATAAGGCATTTCAGTTGAAACTAAATCTTTATTCATATGGAAAATACTACTTTTCTTTTTGCAAATGATGCTAATAAATAAAAATACTCAGAAAGACCTTTGCTTAGAGTTAAGTGACTAGTTACAGCCACGTGAAGCTTTTAATTCCCGTTAAAACCACGCCAACAGTCATGCAGATTGGCTACGAGAAAGCAATATAAACTATATTTTATTTTGTGCAATCTTATCATACAATCTTAATGCTACCTTCTTCTAAACCATTTCACATAGATTGAAATGCAATTTCAAAACAAATATTAAGGGACATATTCTACACTTATTCCACATATGGAGCTGTGTACAGCTTAAGCCCATAAACGTATAATGTAGTTAAGCATCTAAAGAAGGTAAAAGAAAAGAGGACCCTGTCCTGAAAATTCAGACAAGTTTATAAACATAAGAGAAGAAAAGCTCACACTAGTGAGTTCTCAAAAGACAAACACATTATTAAAGCATAACAATAAATTATATTAAATTTAATAACGTTCATCCTTAGAATGGTTATTTCTGAGGAAATATCACTTAAAAAGCACACCAAAACTTTCATCACTAGGAGTTACACTAAGTTCACATATCTCAATTTCCCACTTGGATGCAATTTTGTTTTATAATAGGCTTCAGCTTTCTGAGCATATTCTTTATCAGACATTTAAAAACAAATCGAAAAATGTTGCCGTTAAGCTGTGCATCAAACACATCATCGAGGTGAGAAACAGGCACTTGACAGTATAATGTGCAAGGCAAAACCTTTACTGGTCACAGTATAAATCATTTCCTCAGGAGGGAAATTAAAAGTTCTCAGCCCATCTTTGAGAGCAAAATATTGAGGGCTGCTCGCAGATCTTGCTCCATTCTTTTAGGTCAGCACCAACAACCCAACTAAATACTAGCTCATGCCTTAGAGGGTATTCCATAAACTATAAAATGCAGCATACTTTACCCAAGAATACCAATTCTTTCCTATAATTAACCTCAGCATATGTACTTGCCAAAGGCAAATACAGAGTTTACTCACAGACTAAATGATGCGATATAAATGCTAACCCTTTCTCCTCTATTTTTATTTTTTTAATATAAAATGCCAATTTTACCAATACATTTGCCAATTACAAGATCCTGTTTTGTAGCACAAAACACTGATGTTCTTTTATATAAAACTTAAGAACAATGTCTTTTAACATCCTATTAATAATACCAGAAAAAAACCCCAAACCAAAACCATTTTGCTACAGTTTCCCTCCAGGCACATCTCAACAGAATCTCAAAAAAAATAGCTATGCAGGAACTGTAAGCCAGAAAATTATACATGAATTGGAAGAGAGAGGAGAAAGAGAGAGCTAAGGAGTAACGCGGCAGTAACAGAGACAAGGTACAAGCTTAGAAGAAAATGGCATGCATCCCTTTTCATCAGCATAAGCTTCTTGCAAAAATACGTTTACAGGACATCCATTATATAAAGGTATATGCTTTCTTGTAAAAATACTGATTTTCTCCGAAATGCTAACTTGATCTTCCGACTGTACTGGCCATATTGCTAGGCAGTCAACAAGTTTGCAGTTCTGTTGTACCAGTATAACAATCAGGAGAGAAAAGGCCTACTGTTCATTTTTTATGAAACTTTTGATTTTTTTTTTTTCCCATGAATGTTAAAGTAGTATTTATATAGGTCATATAAACAAAATGGAAACCAACTTTGGATCTGACATCAGCCGCACTGCTAATGAGAGACAATATGCTAGAAAGAGGCACTTTAGTATTCTTATATACATTTCAAATCTCAAGTTTAACACTTCACCTTCTTTTACCAAAAAATTAAAATATCAGTAGCTAATAAGACAGAGCTTTAGAACAAAAACGCTTCAGAAGTGTGCATGCACATACTTGCAATGGCTCAGTTACTCAGTTACCCTGAAAACGCCAGACTATAATTCAATCACTGCTTATGGGGCAGAGGGGGAAGGAACAACACAGTACAGAACAAAAAAGTTGTTTGGAGAATAAGGATCAGCTATTGTAAAAATTAAAACATATGCCCTTCCATAAGGACCAACTTATCCCTAGACTCAGGACTATGGATACCGAATATAGAGATCTTCTTATACCCTACTCACTGCTGCCTTCCAAACTTTCAGTCATTTTTATTTTTGGCATAACATGCATCTTAAAACCCGAGAAGCTCACCTTTGTCAAACAGCATTCAATATTAAAAAAAAAAAACCCAAAAAACCAAAACTCTGGAAGACCCATTTGACCTGACTATTGGTGAAGATCCTGCGATGGAAGGAGTTACATTAGAGTAGTATTTTCCCATTTCATACACAGTATAGCACATTGTGACAGTTGAGCATCTCGTGTGCACAAGCTGAAGCATATGCTGAGGCTGAAGTTCTGGAAAACAGTCAACTAAGTACAAGCATTCTCCCTGCAAGCGACAGATCAGTATTCTGAGCTAAAAAAGGGACAGCATCAAAACCAAACTTTTGAGTGGCCCTCAAATACCAGAAAAAGAACAGGACCTCAAGCTAGTGGAAGTTCCTACATAAGGCAGTCAAATTTACAACCAGTGTATACATTCACTAAGGAATTACATTTTTTTGGTAAAACCAACAATCCAACATACTGCAGAGTCTGAATGTGAAATATAGGCACAAAATAGATTCTCTACTTTTTTTTCAGTGTGGAAAACATAGCTATTTAACAATGTAATAAGAAAATTTACTATCAGGTGAGCAAAAATTTGTAACAATCTGAATAAAACAAAGTACTGTATAAAGGTGCAATATTGAGCAGATTTGATTTTGGTTTAAACATACGAGTAAATCATGGAACCTTTCTCATCTTATCTATAAAGTACTTCACACTACCAGTATCATTCTAGTTCTTCCCAGTTGTCAGTAAGGTTACCTTTGCTTTGACGTCTAATACTAACCAGCTTCCCAGCTGATTTGATACTCCACCTGGAACTGTTTCCTGAGCTGGCCAGGTTTGTGTATTTTGTGGAGCCTTTGGTTTCATCTTCCCAGCCTGACCAGGCTGTATAGTCACTTAAAGTAGTTGCTGCATCACTGGTAGAGTCAGCAGCGGTAATCTGCGGTGGTTCCCATCCCTCAATCTCATCTGGTTTCCTAGATGGGACATTCTGCTTTATCACCAAACTGTCCCAAAAACCCGGCTTCTTTTCAGACTTCATCTCTTCCTTTAACTTTAGGTTTGTTCTAGAAAGTAACAACGATGAGGCGATTAATTTCTTCATTTAACAATGCATGCAATAGTTATTAATAAACATTCAATTAATTTATTACATTTTATCATAAGGAATGCTAATCAGTTGTCAGCCTGTGACAGCAGATCCAGTACTGTCAACTTCAGGACAAACACCCGCATGTACATGTAAGCCGAAATATAGTAGAACCTTGCAGCTATCAATCAGAAGTAGACAGAGTACGGCCATTTCCTAGTATGAAAGAACTCAGACCCCCCTCCCGGTGAATTACACAGCACTGCCTTTGGAAATGTATGAAGTATTTTAGCATGCATTAGAACAGTTTAGGACTTGAACCAGAAAACCTCGAAAAACAAACCCAGAGGTAGGATAGTAGAAGGAATATGAAAATGTTTTGTCTGCCACCAGCTTTAGCAATCACTCACTATGTTCCTCAGTTTCATATACCTGTTACCACCTTGCCAGTTAAACCTTATACCCTAAAATAGTTAATGTACACAGTATTAGGACTTTAAAGGTAACCAGCATTTTTTTTTTCATAAAGGTCCATACAGTATTTTGAAAAGAGCTGTTTTGCATTTCTGGTAAGAACTCCCAAAATTCCCCTCCCAAAACCAAGAAAAAACAACCTTTGTTATAATTTCTCTCTCAAAGAGACATTTGAAAGGGTACTCATATTATTACATTTCTTATCCCATTAAGAACCTTCAATCTGAATTATTTCATATTTGCAGTGTGGAGTATTTAAAATACAGAATGTGAAATGTTTCTGCATAAGTTTATATGCAGGGTTATGTATGTAATCAAATAATGGCCCACAAGGAAAGGCTGAATACCAGTGATGAAACACACAACCTTCAGGGTTCAATGAGCTGAACAGCAAATTGAAAACATTCCCTGCTAGTAGCATACAAATTCCTTAGCCACAAATAAAACCACCATTGACCTTTTTTTAGTATTTCTATTAAAAGAGCTTTTTCCTACTAATGGAAGCTTGACACTATCATATTTAAATAGAAGCAACTGAACTGATACCTTTAAAATTACTTTTCCTTTACTGAATTTTGAATTTATGATCAGATTTTTCAGAATTTTCATCTCGCTGAAGACTTTTCTCGCATTTCATGAGTAGCACGCTTGAAAACGTTTCATTATTCTTTACAAGTAAAATAAAGTAAAAATACCGGTATACAGTTATAGGAAAATACCCCCAAACTTAAACTACAGGTAGTTTTCATAGTAATCCTAAAATAGCTTTCCACATTCGTGGTAACTTGGTTTTCATACTTCTGATCTCTTCACTGGGTTACTCAATCTTGATGTTCAGCACCAATTGCAAAGGATCCTTGAAGCAACCTAGCGTCTTAGTAACAGCCATGAAATTGTACAGGGACAGTAGCAGGGAACGTTTGGGAAGTTTTATTGAACAGGCTCAAATGGAAATGTATGTATTGACAACATTCTAAATTGTTTATATGTACACACACACACGCAGAGATACACACTTGCATACTGAAATACATATATTTCAAAGTAAACTGGAAACAAAACATACTGCAGCGAGTCTTATCAAAGCTAGTATTTGGCTGGAACAGCTATACTGATAGGTGGCACATTTTTTCCTGTTTGTAACCAAGGTAGGTAGGTAGCACATGTAGGTAAAGCCTACGTATACTTGTAACAGCAAAACAGTCGGTCCTGGGAAGAGGTCTGTTCTGTTCAGAGAACAGCCCTAACTGTACTGGCAGCAGAACGGTTCCCAGTAAACACCTCAGCTCCAAAAGGGAAGATTTGCAGATCCTGGTACATAGCTACTCCACTTAACCTTTTAGGTGTAGGCAAGACTTCAAAAGAAAAAGTAAAGCATGTAAAAAAAAGGAATTTGTAAATTCAACCATAATTAATCCTTAAGAGGAAAGGGGGAGGGTGGGAATTACCCTTTTACTCAGAAACATTTATTCCTTTTCTACAGTAAAAAATTATTATGCAGTTGAGTTCCCTTTTCTCCCTGACAGACCTAAAAAGGTTATCAACGATATCCATCCTTTCCTAATACAGCATGCCTTATTCTCTGTAAGCTTAACATATACGTAATTTTGAAACGCACGTAAACCTTTCCCTGTGATTTAACTTCCAGGAGTTGAACACTACTGCTTCTCAGTGTCTTCCTTCTGCTTCTCAGGGTCTTCTTGACTACTTTGCACAGCTGTTTTCTGTTCCAGTTGTGTATTTTAATAGCAGACAGACCAATTGGTTTTACTTACCCTTTGGATTTTGGAGACTTGCATCCTGCTAGCAATTGCTGTTCGTCATCTTTATTGAACATAGATGTCACTTCCTTCCAACCCCGGAAACTTGCACCTTGAACCTATACAGAGAAGTAAACATCCCCATAAACGTGAATTACAGATTTACAAGCATGTGTGACTTACAGACTTACAACTACAGACTTATAATCAAGTATGGCTGCCAGCACTGACTCTGGGTGGGCGGCTAAGCAGCAGCAGCCCTACCTCTCGTGTGCTGTGCAGCTGGGAGCGCAGCGGCTCCATACAGCCTGCAGAGGATGAGGATGGCCACGTTTTGAAAAAGAGCAGGATGGGTTACTGCAGCAAGAGCTCTTTACTGCTGAGCCAAGAGTACAAAACTTTGCCGGTCTGCAGAGGCTGGCAAGCGATGTCAGTGAGTACAGCCAGGCTCCTGGATGCTCTTCTGCAGGCAGGAGCTGCTGGCTCCGTTTTAACGTATTACAGTAAGAAGGGAATCTAGGCAGCTTAGGAAGCAGTCTAAAGGGGCTTCAGGAGACAGAAATGAAACAGTCATTGCTAGAAGGGGCCACAACAGAGAGGACAGCCAGTTGAATTAAGAAACTTCAGATTTAACCTGCTTTGCACTCATTGCTCTGATTTTTAACTCGCAAAAATTTCTTGTGGCTCTGCAAGCAAAAAGGGTAAGAGCATTGGCTCACCACTGAAATGTAACACGTGGCACTGGTGCACTACAGTGTGTGCTCTAAATTTACTGCGACCATTAAAAATGTAGCATAAATTATATTTTCAACATCATTAAAGGTTTTATTCCCTCTCCCCCAAAGCAAAAAAAAAATAGGTATTGGTTATTTTTATTCTGACAGCATGCTTAGGGACTCTAACAGAAATGCCCACGTGTGTGCCGAGCACAGAATATCAAAATTAATGCTCTTTCTTGCAGGATCTAGTAAGAATGGCAGAGTGACAGTCTATTAGTATTACCTGATTACATTAAAAAATACAATACATTATGATGTATAAAAAACAATCAGAACAAACTTGTAGTGTGAACATGAGCAAAGGCTAATTTATCACCTATCATTACGCTTGATCCTTTTTGCAGAACTCATCAGTGCAAATTAGTATCAATTTGACATTTAGGTTTTAATTGATTACAGTTTATAACTGGTACATACACGTAGGCCTTAAAACATATGAAACATCATATATGAATTGAGCACAAACACCAGATAGGAACATACCGCTACTGCCACCTCCTCACCTTTCAGAAACCCACAACCTCTGCCATTTACGGGACTAAACCAGCACCCTTGTTATCGTACGTTAGTCACGGAGCGTTTCCACCTCTTGTTCTCCCGTTTCACTATGTCATACACCTTCATGTCTCACCCAACCTCCCTGATCACATCTGAACCACCTCAGCTACTCTGACCCAGGAGACGTAAGAGGCCATTTTAGGGTCAGGAGGGAGGTCTAACCTAGACTTACTTTGGTTAGATACAAACACAGATCCAGCTTTGGGCAAAGCTCTGAACTCTGAAGAGGGAAGGCTGAGCAAGCCCAGAGCAATTTCCAGCTCTCATTCATGGACAGGCCAGGTACATGAGAGCCAGGTTCACTACAGCTTGGGCCTCTGCAACCGCTCTGCTCACCTATTCCTTAAACCCACGCCTAATCTTACGATAAACCACAGCGTTCCTCTTGGCTTCACAAGAAAAGCAGAAGCTTCTATATATATTTTTTCCCCACTATGCGAATAAAGCGAGTACAGATTATAATAAGCAAGCCCTCATGTTTATTTTAAACATATGCTTTCTATTTTTAATTATGTTAAAATATGTAGACAGCTAACTTCAACTTTGCATCCCTGTGGCAGACTCACCATACCCACCTCGCAGAAGACCGATACTGTCGATAGAAACCAGAGCCAGACAAGCTGCAAGACGATACCTTCAGATAATCTCGCTATGCAAAACCCATAATCAGCCTGCCCAAGCAGTACTCAATAGTTAATGCTCCTGTGGTGTAAATAATGGTCTAAACCCTCAATTTTAGTCTATAAAGGCCTAATCCCATTATCTGTTTCTGTTGTTCAGTTAAATTCTGTAACAAGTTTAACATGAGGATTTGTTACTGGTTTGGCTTCCTTTCACTGCAAAGCAGTTAATCCACAGCAAACTTCCAAAAAATGGAAGAATCCCCAAGAAGTTAGCTGTTGAAGGAAGTAGTTTGTTTAAAGAAAGAAAAAAAAAAAAAAGGAAAGCACTTAGCTTTTCACAAGTTAAAAAAAAAAATCATTCATCTTCTGTTATCTTACTCAAGCTCTACTTTTTCAGGCCTTTTTATGAAGGAACCTGCTACCATAGGCAAACCCACAATTAAAAGCAGCACATAACTCTTTACTGCCCTAATCCTTTAGGCCTTTAAACTGGAAAAAGACCCAAATATGCCTCAGGGATCTAATTTATATATATAAGCTTGTCTTCACTATTGATGTTTCATCAAGCTATTGCCACACAATAAATCTGCAGATTAAAAAAAAAAAAAAAAAAAAAAAACCCAAAAAAACCAAAACCCAACAACCCGCCTTGTTATTGGTTTTCAGATGGCAATTTAATACACAGACAACTAGCTTAATTTAAATTACGCGTGCCTTTAAAGAACAGCATTGACAGAAAGACTATTTGGAGGTAAGCATTTATACACATGCTTACAGTCATGTAAAAAAGGATGTACCTGCACCACGAACTTCTTTTAATCTAGAACATCATACATACTTCACCAATACAACTTCAACCTTTGCTGCATTGCTTTGGATACCCAAGCAATCCTCCAGGGGAAAAGAAAAAAAAAAAAAACAAAAAAACCCCTGATTTTTATATACATGTAAAAAAATATTATAAATATATTTTTATATTATCTCTAAATATATAGAAATATACATTATATGTATTTATAATACATAACTGATTTATTCTCTCAACTAGCCCTCAGGGGAAATGTACACTAAACCTTTAAGACATACTTCCACCCCTTATTTATTTGGGGTTTCCTGAGGAAACACTGCCAGGACAATCTACGTAAAAGCATCAATGTCCACATAGACCATATTTTGCTAATATGCAATAAAACTCATTGCACAAAGTCTAGTGCATATTAAATGGACTAGGCTGAAAGAAACCCCAGAAGTGCAGGAATAAAAGCAGAATCTCTGTCTACCATGCTTAAGCCTCCTCTTCTACCCCTGCCTGCACCGGCGCTGATCCTCTGAAGCATCTTTTCACTCAACAGAAAAGGAGTGAACAGCTCCCCCTTGATAGTCTTCTCATTGGTAACATACTTAAGAATATAAACCTTAGCAAAGGAGGAGGTCAAACATTTATTTCCCGTTTCCAGAAGCTTTATTCTAACTACTGAACTGTTTGTTAAGACAGCAATCTTCCTTTTTGACAATGGCTGTCATGCAACCTTGTCACATACTAACCAAAATCCCTCAAAACAGCCTGCTGCCTTTCTGTATTTCTTTTCCACGTTCTTTAATGATTTTTAACCAACAGACAAGCACCACCTACACATGCAGTGCCACCACCAATGCAGCTGGGCAGTTACAACTGCATCTGCTGGTTCAGGAAGAAGATCTTGAACTTACCGTTCTCTGAAACCATCAGTCTGATGTGCAGCAGCTGCAAAGCCAAGAAATGCTGGGAAACCATCACAGAAAGGATTAGACAAATTCAGATGGCGGATCTGTAAATGGATACCCTCTGTTTAGAGGGATGCACCCTCCAATATCTCAAAACAGTGGTTCTTGATATTAGGGGAAGAGGCCCTCGAAACTGGCCAAGCTATACTCTCCCTTGACAGCATCTCCCATCGCCACCGCCAAAGACAGACTGCCAGACCAGATGGGCCAGTCTCTGAATCAGCTGGGAATTTCTTACATTCTTACAGGGCATGTGGAGAAGGACCCAGATCCCAGAACAATTAGCTTCCTTGCAACGGATGTCAAAGGAAGGTCAGTAAGTAAAGAAAAGATGACACTTTGGTAAACTGACTCCTGACTTGTAAAAAGATTAACGTTATGCAAAGTATGAAAACACCCTACTGATACAGTCATAAAGCATCAAGGCACTTGCAGAAGTTCTCTATTTTGTTTTTATGATGTAACTGTCTACACAAAACTCAAAAGTACTACTCCTAGAATTTCCAAAAAAGTTTATATGCATAACTGACTTGCTTGTGTTCTCAAACCTTTAAAGGATTTTTCCATGTGTCAGTGGAACAAGAAACAATTCAACATCCAAAGTTCACAGAATCACACAGCCTTTACAGCTAGAAGGGACCTCTGGAGACCATCTAGCCCAACCACACCGCTCAAAGCACGGTCAGCTTGAGCAGATTGCCAAGGATCATATACAGCCGTGTTTTGAGTATCTTCACAGCTGGAAAATCCACAATCTCTCTGGGCAACCTGTTCCATAGCTTAACCACACTCATGGCGAAAACATTTTTTCTTATGTTTAAATGGTAACTCTTCTATTTCAATTTGTGCCCGTTGCCTCTTGCCCATGCACTGAGCACCACCAAGAAGAGTCAAGCTCTACCTTCTTTACACCCTCCCTGCTGTTGGGAGAAACATGCAGAAACCTTTCTTGTTGCTCCTCATTTTCCTCACAAGATTTAACTCTAGGTGGGCTCTGTCTTTCCTAACCCCATCCCTACATGCTCAGAGAGTGTCTCTATATTCCGCTTCCAACTCCTGTATGCTTCCTATTTATGTTTGAGGTTTTTCAGGAATATCTTGTTCATCCAGACAGGCCTCCTGCCACCTTTGCTTCTTGCTCTGCTTGTTGGGATGGGTTATTCTTGAGCTTGGAGGAGGTGATCTTTGAAAATCAAAGCTGATTGATACCACTAAAATAGAACCAGGTCTACAGTCAAAACTCCAGGTTAAAAATAAATAAATAAATAGATAAATAGATAAATAAATAAATAAATAAAATCAAGTCGAATGCCCATAAGGGACTGCTAAGAAAAAGAGAGCACTATTAAGAAGGACTAGAATTGTAACATCAGATGTTAGAAAGTCAAAGCCTTTAGAGGACCAGGTCAGATGCTTCAGTGTACTATTTTTCAAAAACACCAGTGAGAAACAAAGCAGAAACTCCTCAAGATGCCATTTCAGTATTCTGTGAAGTAGGATTACAGACCATTCTCATACCAGTTTGACTACGGAAGCAGGGAGTATGCTTATCAGAACAGCCATTAGTAAAGTTTCTCCCATAGCGTCCATTTTAGATTGTGAAAATCTGTGCAGCACAATGCCCTGTGCGATTGATTACCTAAATAGATCAGTAGAAATGAAATTACACGTACCTATTAATCCATCCACCGGCAGACTACTGAAAAACCATCATCACTGTCTGTCCCAACATGCATCTGAAGAGCTCAAGCTCAGATCAGAGATTCTTCCCTTTCAGGAGAGGAAATTCCAGCTTATCAAGTACTCTTTCTCCACCACGAAAAAGCTGCCATCTAATTAGTGTATCTTCTGAAACTGGGAGTACAGATAGTCACTTCTAGAACATCATGTAAAGGATGCAGTCTGTGTCCTTAGCCAAACTGTCTGCCGTTTCTCCCCCTCGCTCCCCTCCCCTCTGCTTTGCCGATGCTTCAGTATTGGTGCCCATCTGTCAGACAGATTCCCAGAGAGAAGTCTCACAAGGTGGCAGATCTGGTTTACCAGGCACTGCTGCTGAAAAGGGTCAAACCAGTCCACTGCCTGCTTACATTTACACTGCCTTCCTTACACTGTGGGTTTGTACCCCTGTGATGCTGTGGAAAACTCATTCATTTTTTGCATTCTTTTGGGTTAGTGATAAGAATCAGCTCATTACAAGATGTCAGATAGTCACCAAAGGACGTGGAAGTTAGGGGCAACAGCACCTTTTCTGTAGCAGCAACTACTATATCAGGTCAAGCATTCTCTGAAAGTTGCTGTCATCTATCTGCTTTCTTCCACAGATATAGCTTTGTACATACAGTACGGCTTCCCCAAACACACCCCCTAAGCTTCACTCTGTAAACTCAACCCTTATAGCAAGGGTTTTCTGCTTTGTTACCTATATTGACTCAAGTGAATCAACTGCACATAAATTGCATATGTTGACTACAGTTTTTCTTTCTTTAGATAAAATGGGGAACAAACGTCTACTGACAGTTAACTTTAGCAAGTGCCCCAGAAAGGGACAGCTCCTCTCAAATTGGAAGTCTCCTACAAAAATGAGAGGCATTATTACAAAAAAAAAAAAAAAATTACTTTGGGTATACCGTTTTTCACCACACCAACAAATTCTGATTATTTACATGACTCTCGGTTTCCCATACTAGGTAAACAGCCAATGAATAACAAATGAACAATCAAGAGTCTACTGGGAAACAGTAAAGCATCAATAAGATGACTTTTCAGTTAATTTTACTGTCAAAGGTACATAGTTCATCGTTAGAACTCTAGTAGAGGGCAAGAACGTTCATGAAAAATTAGGCTAAAAGGCAACAAACCAATACTAACTAGAATACTAACAATTGGCTATAAACTAAAGAAGCAGATCAGTCCTAAAAGCAAATTTAAAACGTACATTGCAAAAAGAAAGCATGTTGATATAGACGAACATATACTAAAGAGGAAGACTATGTATAAATTTAACTGTTTTCAGTTAAATCCATCCATCGGATGGATGTGATTAATGTGCATGAACACCTTATTATGGGAGGGAAAAAAAAAAGCACATAATTCAATCAAGTCAAAGAATAATAGCAAGCATTTGGGACACTATGCTAGAGTTACAAGGCAAACAGTTTACATTTCAAAGCAAGAGATTCAAGTATGTTCACCTATTACTCTGATTCTGAAATATATTCTGAATATATTCCGCTTTTTGTGTGGGTACCTGTACTTTCAATATATTCTGGTTAGACTTTTCTACTTCCCAACTGCCTGGCCAGGAGGGCTCTGGAACACAGAAGTCACTTGCTGCGGGCTACAAGGAGCCACATGACAAGAGTCTTAGCAACCAAAAAGAGCAAGTACTTGCTGTATACCTGCAGTGAAAATCAGCTTGTTGGATGCCATTGTGTAGTTCAGCAGCTAATCCCTAAAAAGTCACCGCTCAGCACGTATGAAATGAGTTTTCCAGAAAATCATATTTTGGCCAAGTTTTAGCAGACCTTCATAAGTATTTTCACAGAGGATTGACAACTGGTGAATCAAAACCCTCCAGCGAAGTGGAGGCACTCCACAAAACACTTGCAGAATTTTTGTATAAAAATAAACAAAAAGAACGGATTTTCCTCTCAACCTTGACTGAGAAGAAACAATTGTTTGTTCTACAGCTTCCTTCCCTCCTCCCCATAAAAAAAAAAACAAACTTAAAAATAAAAAGCTAGAGATGGTATTTTCCATATAAGTACCTTACAGTTCAATAAAGTTACAACTACGTGTGTTATAATAAAAAAATGCCAATCAGCCTGAATTAAAGAAGCGTTGTTCCCACATTATAGGAAACCTATTCATAACGTGCAAGAACTCAAACAACAGAAAGTGAAAAAACAACCTGCCTCCAAATTTGTCTTCCAGATATCAAAGCATCAGGGGGATGGGGGGAATTTCTCAACTCAACCAACTGCTGGTGTGTAGAGCAAGAGTTACTCTATTCTGTGGCACACGTGAGCTGAAACTCCAGGATTTGGCCCTACCAGAATGTCACATCTCCAATTTTGTTATTAAAATTATTTTCTTCCCCAAACTCTTTCTCTCTTTTCAAAGGCTGGCCTAATAACAGCTGTAGATGAAGTCTGTGCTGTACTTCTAACTCACAAGCTCAGCACATAGGTGACACCTCCCTAAGATTCGCCCTCTACAACTACCTGCAAGGAGGCTGTAGCGAGGTGGGGGTCGGCCTCTTCTCCCTGGTAATGGGCGATAGGACGAGGAGAAATGGCCTCAAGTTGCGCTAGGGCAGGTTTAGGTTAGAAAATAGGAAAAATTTCTTCAATGAAAGGGTTGTCAAGCATTGGAACGGGCTGCCCAAGGAAGTGGTTGAGTCCCCCAACCCTGGGGGTATTTAAAAGACGGGTAGACAAGGTGCTTGAGGGACATGGTTTAGTGGTGGGATGGCAGGGTTAGGTTAACGGTTGGACTTGATGATCTTAAAGGTCTTTTCCAACCTAAATGATTCTATGATTCTAAGATTAGCTTTGAAGAGGCCAATGGGCTAGGCGCAGCGTGAACACAGGTTCCAGATTTCTGCATTTCACAGAGCACCACTAGGGGGTTTCACAGTTCCTCACTTTGAGATGTCAGGAGGCTTTTTAACCAGCTATACCTGCCTCTCAGGAGAGCAGAGGGAACCAGAAAAATTCAGCACTGCAGTTAGCCTGTCCTCGCTGCTAAGTCGGCAGCTTCCCGCATGAGCAGAAACTAAGAGCATTTTCCAACCTCCACCTCCAGCCATTAGGACTAGCTCCCAACTACTGCACCTCCAAACCGAGGTCAAAGGCTTTCCTCTGCAAATGGGCATCAGGACTGTCTTAAAACTCAGGCTTTAAGTGACCAGGAAGGGTCTCCCTACAGGGAGACAAACCCTTTGTCCACTGTCCTTTTCTTCAAGAACTGCGTTGCTCTTCACCATACTGCTTCAACATGGAGACTGTTTTATTCACGACACATGCATACTGAAAAGGCCACACAAATAATTCATCAGCCTTTTATTAAGATATTAAAGATTTTGGAACTTCTAGAATATCACTGTACTGACAGCTTCTAAGAAAACAGAGCAACCAAATAAAATACAGAAGCACGTTCAGAAACAACAATACAGAAAGAGAAGATGAGAAGGATAAGGTGCTTTTTTGTGAATACATTTTTAAGACACAAGGGTTTTACTTTAAAACACAAAAATACTGCAGTTCAGTGGTTTGCCTGGTGACTACTTTTTTTTTTTTTAAAGTAAAAAACCACTCTTGGCAAGCCTTCCTGAATGACTAAGTAAAGGCAAAAAAGTTTCAATATAAGATAAATTTTAAGAGTATTTTCCTGAACATTCATCATCTGGCATAAAATAAACAGTAATTTAAGCTTTCATAAAAAAAGAATACATTTCTTCTAAAAAGTAGAAAAAGGTATAGTACAATCTTATATTTTCAGCGAAAATCACACTGCATCTGAAGTTGAACAAAAAGAAGTAACAGAGACAGATGTTCAGTTTATACATATTAATGTAAAGTATCCTATTACACTAATGAACCTATTTTTAAATGCTTTTCTCTATACCTATGGAATTTCAAAACAAGCTCTAGCATATCATAACAACTTCTAGCTCTTTCATCTTCTACTAATGTATTTTAAGAACATTAAAGAAGATTCTTGGACACATATCAAGGTAAAAAAAAAAAATGTAACTTGTATGCCTACTTTTCTTTTCTGAAACAGATATGAGAGAAAGTCCTGAACCTCTTGTGGCCAGAAAGCCAGCAGAGCTACATATAATGGAATAAATAACCCAAATCTCTTCTACTTTTCATGTTTTCATCGCTAGTTAGTTAGAATTTAGTACTTCCTTAGACTTCAGGTATTCCTATGTCTTCGTATTTTCATTTTGTATTTTAATATCTGTCATGTGGAAGAAAAAAACATTCAGATACCTTCCCCTTCCCATTAATGGCAGGAAGTAAGGCAGCTTTCTACCTAATACTGCACTGCTAATATTACTTCAGTGAGAACCCCATAACCAAGGCTCATACATAATTATAGAATGATCAATGGAGTACATAAATATCCTCCTTGATCAGGCTGTACATGAAAAGCAGGTAACTTCCTAACATACATTGACTGAAAAATACATGATATAAAGCGTTACACTTCCAAAGAACAGGTATTTACCTTTGTTGCAAGTTGTGACACTGAAGATGAAACTTCATCATGAAGAAACTGGTCTTTATTCTCAAAAAAAAAAATAAAGATAAAAAAGGCCCATAGTCAGTTTTGGTTTGACAGTTAACAGTGACACATTTTAGAGCATTCATAAATGCTTTTATTCTACTTAGCCCATCATAAAAGAAAATTGACAAAATACAATCCAAATGCAAAACTAAGTGAACACCAACACTAAAATAATAAACATGAATAAAACTGCACTTAGAATGATGAAAAAATCTGCACCAGATGTAAAAACCAAAATCAAACCCACACAAAACCAAAAACCCCACAACCCAAAGAGAGATCAAGAAAACCCTTGCATCATAACAATTTTAGTACAATTAAAATTAAAAATTTAATTTGATCACAATAATTATGTCTGTATTTTTTGGATCTACACTGATTTTCTGAAGAGCATACTAGATGATGGTCTATGCAGTGTCTGTAGGCTGGGGGGAGAGGAATGTCCCAAGGTTATTTCCTCCTTCACATTAAAAAGCATTTACATCTCCTTAACTCAAGGACAGACTTTGGCCCACATTCCTTTCCTCTCCATTTATAACTAGAGTTCTGAAAAAAACCCCAACCAACCAGAGTACTGAAGATGCTAGTGAAGGTAATTCAGTAGGGTAGCATTTCTGCCCATCTCTGTATTGAGCCAGTGTTTCTTCAGTCTGTGTTTTAATGAGAAAACTGTTAACTTTTTTTTGCTCTACCTTTAACTCCAAATACAAACAGTCCTCAAGTACAAAACAAGCACAGCTACCTGTAACTGAAAATATTTAACTCCAGTTCCAAGAAGAAACATAATTACAACAGAATGGTGTATTGAAAGCATCTTTGAAGTGGCAGTTTCAGAGAATCCCATGCGTTCACTTTGGCCCATTTTTTGCTTATGTCAGCCATTTACTGTTTCAAAATCAAATTACCAACTCCTCCTTTTTCAACTACAGTAAACACTAAGGAGTTGATATGCAATTTCCTCCGTAAGCTTAATTTTTTAGGGTAACTCGACATGCACATATCCCAAGACACCCAAAACACACAGTATCCCAGGTCCTACGTATTACCAAGGACCTCCTTCACTTTGCTACCAGCATCAGAAAGAGGTGAGAAAGCCGGAGTGAGAAGCGTTAGGTATTTCTAGTTGTATGGGGGCCCAGAGGCATCAGCTTCATTTTGAGAGACCAGCTTCAAATCCCATGCATCCTTTTTTCTTATATTTATTTTTTATAAATATATTTTTATATTTATATGTATTTATTTGCCTACTAATGTTTCCATTTACTTTATAGACAATACTTTATATTATACAAGGGACATGGATGGAGTTAGGAGCATTTCTAGAACGAGAATGAACACCATCGCACTACAGTTCAATAATAACTATATGTTAAAATAGAGTGATTTACAGGTAGCTAGCTTTACTTGGTGGGGCAGCATACAAAGTCAGGAACTCCTATTATCATCCAAAATGAGAATATTGCTATTTAACTTCCGGATTTCGGTTATCTGTCTTTAACACAGGAGGATATTATTGTAGATGGGATACCAAAAACGACAAATTTAGGATTTCCCCCCCCCCCCCTTTTTTTTTTTTCTTTCTTTCCTTTTAAGAGACTCACTGGCACTGTTTGAAGCGGAAACGCCACACACATACCATTTCAGAAGTTTCCTTGTTTCCCCCTCAACACTCTCAGCTCTCAAACATTTGGATGAGGTTGCAAAGCCTTAGACTTAACATGATGGCATCTCTGCTTGGACACAGGGTAAGAGCTAGAGAATACTTCTTCTGATTTGTCCAAATTTTTCCCAGGAAGAAAAAAAATAACAAGAACTAGGATAGCCTCAAGGGGAAGTATGGTAAGCGGATAAATTATCTCAGACATCCAGTGCTGGCAGAGCTACCAGTTTCAACAACCAACAATATTGTCTCCAGAACAAACAAGAGACTGTTAGTACCTTCCAAAGAAATAACACCTCTCATTTGAATTCTTCCAGCTCTCCAAATATCTTAAGAAGGATAATAAAAATATGAAAGTGCATAAAGAGACTTCATGCTCTACTACAGAGAAGAGAAAAAATGGAAGTGTGAAGGCATACAACCTCTAGCAAGCCAGAGCACAAGGAAGCAAAAGCACAAATCAGCTTTCACAGTGGAAGCTTTTAGGGGAAAACCAAGAGAGGCAATGAACACTTCAGGCGGCTACGGAGTCAGCACAATAAAATGTGAATATCGCTACTGATAAAAGATGTAATTCAGAATAAATAGTAGACTAAAGGGAGTATTTATTTGCTTCCTTAAAAGTGTGACAACTAGGGCTGTGCTTCTGTGTTAATGCAGTGCTACCGCTCCCGGACATACAAGGTCCTACCTCACGAGGAATGAGACAGTCTTTTCAGTAACTATGCTCATGCAGTGCAGGCTGATGGTAAGAAGACAACACAAAGTTAAAAGATACAAAATACAAAGTTTATAAGATATGAAACCCTCAAGAAAGCAACTGGTGAGAATCCAATACCTAAAATACATTTTTTGGGGTGGAAGACCTATCAAATATCCATAGTACCCTTTCAAGATACGCTGCTTAAGAAAAGGAGACTTGGGCAACTGCAGTGTGCTTCTGATGTGCATCCATACATCCCATGGGCTCACAGTGACTCTTGATTGAAACTAGCCAGTAGGTTTGAATTCAGCAGTCTTGAAGAGACAAGATTTGGAAACATTCTGTGGAAAATCCATTGCTAGGGAAAGTGGAGAGAAGCAGACTAACGCCCCATGGCAGGAAGAGTGCGGGAGGAACACATGTGGGGGCTCAAAGCCAGCCATGGCCCACACGCGCACGGTGTGGTAAAGATGGGTTGTGTATTAAAAAAAAAAAAGACAGAAGGAAAGAGGAGAAGGAGGAAAGGGACCAGTGCCATCACTGGGAAGAGACGAGGAGAAAAGACGAGCAGTCATACACTTGTTACCCACAGAATAATTTGCATTTTTCAGCGACACACATTAGTACGCCCTCTTCTGATAGATACTCTCTACTTTTGTTACCACGCAGAGAGATCAGGGAGCATACGATTTGGTTTTTCAAATTTTCTTTAGGGGACAATCTACTGCACAGCTACATGTAAAGAGTGAAGATGAGCTTTCTTTAGCATGCTGCGTAACACATGCTGGCACTGAACACTTACAAAGTATTTCAGTGTATTTTAATCTGGGCTGTTTACAGCTACGGCAATTCATTTTTTACCTCAATTTAGAAGAAAAAACACGGACCACATTATAGTATCTAGTAACTAATAGGTGACTAAACGCTAACGCTAGTGGGAATGCTGATCAGCAACTTGAATAGCCTTCCAGTTCTGGCAGAGGAAGGTTGGTATGCGCAGTGTGTTTTCATAAGGAAACAAGTGCCCTTTTGTTGGACATACTGCAAACCATAAGGTACTCAAGGGATTAATTCAACCAGCACACAAACCTTTTTGTACAGAGATCAAAATTGTAATCTACTTCCCTCAGCTTCCTTTGTGGTAAAGTAATTAATTAGTCTCTTTAGATCATTCACTTTCATAATTCAGGCCAAGATGAGGAATGCTGGACATCAGAGAGTTAAGGCAAATAATAGCATCATCTCACCCCACATGCCCTTCTTTTGCTCTAGTACCTAAAATGGTGTATTATTGATTTTTCTCTACCCAGCTCTGGAACCTTCCTATCGTACACACACTAGCTGTCAAAGCCGAGCACACGTAAGAGTAAACAAACCATTATTAAAAGAGTAGGTCCTTTAGGTGCAAATTCTCACCCTTCTGCAGACCTACTACATCCCCTCTGCCTATCATCACATCTCATCAAGGACTGAGCGTAATTTAAAGTCTAGTTTGTCATGCCTGTAAGTGCAAATTAGATTATGAACCACAAATGTACAATTTAAGTGGAAAAAACCCCAAAACAAATACCACCTCAAGAGAGAAACTCCAGGGTAGAATTTAACCCAATCCTCAGTAAATAATTCAGTGATAGGAGAGGGGAAGGTAAAAAAACAAACTACTAAAAAAAATCACTCAGGAAATCACAAACCTGAAAGTTAACCTCTGAAGTTGGAAAGATTCCCAAAACACTGATGACAAACCAAACAGTTGAACATTATATACACACAGCCTCATCAGAAACAGCACAGATTTGGAAGAGGAGATCACACTGCCAGATCACCACCTTAAAATGCAGCAAACAAAAGAGTAGGATCTTGCTATAACATCAAATGACACAAACAAGACTAAAGCAGATAATTAATGCAAAAGTCACTCTGCCTATCTAATTTTAGAACTGAATCAAAAACAATGCAAATGCACTCAAACATGGGTAAGAAGAAAGTTATCAGCAGAAGATCAGTGGCATTGGGCCTCATTTTCTTTGCTGCACCCACCTATAATATACACCTGGAAAAATTCAATGTGTGGATGCTTTCTGAGTCAGGAAATGGAGGTAACAGTGATCAAATGTAAACGGCATACTATTTTCAACGTATTCTTTTAACACAGCTGAAAAATAAAGCTGAAGTGTACCTGAACACGCACACAAAACTGAACATGGCCTTTAAGGAAAAACAAGGTTTGCAATTTTAACAAATAAAGGATGCATTAGTCAGTCATACACTGCTTTCTTCTGGGACACAGGGCTATGTGTTCAGCAGATATAACTCCCATGCTGAACTGTGAATTGCCCCTGCTCCTTTCTGGGAGAGGTAGACTAGATTGAGAGAGAGATCATTTCATTAGTCTTGTCCATATTTCATCTGCTAGATCTCAATCTTCCATTTGTATGTCCTTAAAGTAAGTGAGTGAACCAAACTAGCCACCTGGGCAGGTGGGGTAAATTGAAAAATTCCTATTAATATCACCAATGAAAAATACTAACCTAGGCATTTCTAAGATCTGTTCGTGCTCAGGAGTAATTTGGCATTTTAAACTCATTTTCTCTTCTATAAAAAATACTTCTCCACTCCAGACTGCTCACTACACTTAAA